GCCATTTTTTTCTCATTTCAGATGCAGCTGTATCCGAAAAATCCACTTCCATCTTGAAATCTGCATAGCGCATTAAGGTAATTTTATTCTAATGTTATTATGTTTATAATCAGGTAAACGAATACGTAAATATTTCATTGAATTGCTGAGTTGGTTATAATCTAACCCCACTTTTTTGGCGTGCTCATATTTTCTTTGGTACGATAAGGTGACTTTGCGCCTGCAGCAAAGTAAACCCAAACATAATCCCTTCAAAAGTAAACATAGTTTATTCATTGTAAGTGGTTATTAATCGTAGACAGAGAAACCAATCGTAGACAAATTGACGCCTTCTTTCGCATTCGCACACGAAAAAGATAGATTTATGCATACATATTGCATAGAAATGAGACAGAACAGTGTGATTGTTTGGCCCTTTCTCCGTGCCGGTTTTTTTGTTTAGCAACCTACACTTTGCTAAACAACTTTGACAGTTTGTAGCGATCTAAAGAGTTTACAAGTTGGTTTAAGTGAGAAAAAAGTGTTCTGTGAGCTTAAGATTGGTGAATCTTGTTCAGTTCAGTTCTTAGAACAATTAAAATTTTTATCTAAATATGTTTAAAAGTCATAAAGATTATTGTATAACCTAAAACTACGTTATCGTTCTTTCTCACTCGAGGCCACGCTAATCATTAGTCTATAGGTTTCTCTGTCTACGTTATTAATACACTTTTTATCAAAGAAATTATTATTTATTTTCAGAAAAGATGCCAAGAAATTATAAAAATTACAGCTTCGAAACTCTAAGAAAATGTTTGGCTTCCATAGAAAATAAAGAAATAACGCAAAGAAAAGCTAGTGAAAAGTATGGCATCCCACGCAGAACCATTATTAATCAGCTAAGACTCCTACGATCTAAAATGCCATCTCGACCTCCAGGCGCACTAGTTGTTAGTGGATTTTCAAGTGAAGAAGAAGCCTTATTTGTCGATTGCATTTTAAGGTTGAGCGAGTACGGCTTTCCTCTCACAAATTTCGATCTTCGAATCGTTATTAGAACATATTTGGAGAAAATTGGTCGGAGAGTTACAAAATTTAAAAATAATTGTCCAGGTACTGAGTGGGTGTCAAGTTTCCTAAAAAGACATTCGTGTTTATTACAAACATTTGCAATTAAACGCAAGAGAGCAGCCATTGACAAGGAAACCATCGCTGCCTACATAGAAAACTTGAAATAGGTGGTTAGAGACATACCGCCCGAAAATTTATGGAATTTTGATGAGACTAATTTATCCGACGACCCTGGTCAAAAAAGTAATAGCGAAGCGAGGTACCCTGAACTTATAAGTAATACCTCCAAAAGCTCAACTTCTATCATGTTTTGTGGTAGTGCTAAGGGAGAATTATTACCGCCGTATGTTGTCTATAAATCTAAGCAACTATGGAATACATGGACGGAACAAGGGCCAAAAGATGCCAGATTTAACAATAGCCCATCAGGTTGGTTTGAGATGAATATATTTAATGATTGGGTTTTTACACAAATTTCGCCAATATTAAAGAAACAAGAGGGTCTTAAAGTTATAATAGGAGATAATTTGTCATCTCGCATTTCTGTAGATGTCCTAAATGCCTGTGACAAAAATTATATTAGATTTGTTTGTTTGCCACCTAATAGCACTCTTTTAACTCAGGCGTTAATTGTTGCCTTTTTCCACCCAATGAAGGTAGCATGGAGAAAAATCCTGACCGAGTGGAAGGCGAGTGTTCAAGGTAGGCGAGAGCAAGTACTCCAAAAAAGCAGTTTCCCAGTTCTGTTAAACTGACTCATCGATATTTTGGAACCGACGCGAGAGGTAAACCTCGTTTCAGGTTTTCGGAAATGTGGAATTTATCCGGTTGATGCCAATCCATTATTAGAGAGGTTGCCTTTAACTGTTGACAAGACTGCTTTGCAAGAATCTTTTCTACAGAGTTTGAAGCTAAGAAGCTAGAATGGACGACAAATGGAACTACAAGAGTTCGTCGCAGGAAACTACACATCACTCCTGGAAAAAGTGTAATTGAAGAATTAAGCATACTTTTGGATGATAAAGAAAATGAAGCGTTGGCTCAACCGTCAACTTCAAAGCTAACATGTCGCCGCAGAGCCAGTAGCGAAAGCTCTTACGCAGAAAGTATCGACATGTCAGTTCATGATTCTTCCGATCTAGGTTCTCTTGGAGATTTAGAAAATATTGAAGCTAATACTGATACAGCGGCCGAAACTTGTAATGAAAATTGCAATTTTAAACCAATGGTGAAGGCGGTCGGGCAATATGTAGTTTTCACGTATGAGGAGGAATTTTTTCCTGGTAAAATCACAAAAATAACTAAAGAAGGGCCGTATATCTCTTCAATGAAGAGGTCACTAAAATCCTGGACGTGGCCTAAACCCGTCGATGAAATTCAATACAATTGGCAGGATATATTGGGATGTATTGAAGTCCCTAAAAAAATTATTACCCGACGTGAAATATAGTCTGTCCCTGAACTAGATCAAACTTGGGGTTTTTAAATATATCCAGTTTAAAAATGTTGAAGTTTCATAAATATTTTTAGATGTAAATTTACATTTTTGAGAAGTGTATCTCGTTAGTTTATTTTTGACTGATTTTTGTCCAAAGACTAAACATTTGTAACCAAAGTTACTAGTTAAGATAGCAGTGCCTATTATAATTTAAGAAAATAAAAAAAAAACAATGAAACAAAGTGATTTTGTAACTAAATTTAAGAATATAACATTATTTCTTTAAAACACGATTTATTTTAATTTTCACCCATTTTTTGCCCAAAATCCGTATCCGCCATTTTCGCCAAAAAAGTAAAGAGTAATTTCACGGGAGCAAAGTTTGAATAAGGAAGGTATAACTTCGCTCAAACAGCTTTCACAATAGAGATTGCTTGTGAAATATACCAAGGCGCAAAGTTACCCATTGTCATGGGTAAATTTACGCCTTATTCGTAGTTTTATATGTATTGTGTATTGTGAAATACTTAATACCATGATTTAACTTTAAAAATATGTTAGATAATATGTTGTGCTTCAAAATAAAACATCTAAAGATCTAAGTATATTTCATAACTAATAGTTTAAACAATATTCAGAATTTTATTTTTTTTGGAGCAAAGTAAGACCATTCTACGGTACTAAGATAGATTGAACCTAAGTAATATATATTTGGTATAGTAACTTTTTCGTCTTAGTGTTTTAAATATCCATGTAAGTTTCTTAAGTTTTTTTTTATTATTTAATTTATTTATAAAATTATAGTAAATACATGAGTTAAATGTAATTAACTTGCAAAAACCGTGAGGTTTGTCCGCAAGTTACAGCCTCACATAATTAAAGGTAATAGTACAATCACATACATTATACACTACTCTAATTATAATCACATACATTATACTCTTAATATTCTAATTGATGGCTGCTTATAAACAGTAACAATAATATTAAGTAAATACGTACATATTTTTAAGTCATAAATTTCAAACCACCGTAATTGCAAATCACCGGCGTTCTGGACGGGCCGTATTGACAGAAAAACCGGTTTGTGTGAGCCCACGAGTGTGAGCGTGACAATTAGATCGTTCTTATCGGGCGCTCGGATTATCTAGTTGCAGAAGCAGTATACAGGTTGGTGTAAAAACTGTGAGTTGATCTTTTTATTATTATTTATAGTTTTTCATTATTGATTTGTTTTTATTTTAGTTGCAAGTATACATATTTAATCTATAAGAGATATATGTACATATATTTATAAAAATTAGAACAATTAATTGATGATTTTATAAGTATATATAATTTTGTATTTAATATTTTATAAATATTTATTTACTCCCGTTGTAGCTGTTCATAGAAATATTTTTTGAATTTTTTTTTGTAGTTATCTTCATTGATATCTGAGAGTATCGTGGGGGGGTATTTGGTTCATTAAAGTAGGAAATAAATATCTATTTGTACGTTTACCATAGCAATTATATATTTTAGGTTTTACGAGTTTATTTTGTATAACTTTTCTTGTAATAGTTTTATGGTTAGTTTTAACTTGCACTTTTTTATTGTGAAATTGTTCTATTAGTATTAGCATCTGAAATTTCGTGTGTATAGGTAATACTTTGCAAAATTTAAATATTCCATAAATATTGTTTTCACTGTATATTTTTGTTTTTACTTTCTTAGGTATAATTATTTTCAATATTCTGATTTGTAGTTGATATATTTTATCTAAGTAAGTTTTAAATGTTTTTCCATAACTTGTAATGCCATAAGAAATAAGAGACTCAGCCAGAGCGTTATACAGATTTATAAGGATGGGAAATGGCATTTTGTATTTTAGTATTGCAAACTTTGCTAGCATAGCCCGTAGCTTGTTACATACATGCTCAACGTGTTTACCCCAATTGAATCTTTCATCCACAATCAGACCTAGGTATTTATAAGTGTTAACTTGTTCTAGAGGATTACAATTACAGTTAGTATTTAATTTAGACGAACTATGAAGGCAGTCGTGGCTGTGTGCTAGTATTTTTATTAGTCTTTCGTATTTGTTAGAGTGCATTGATCGTACATATATAATTTTAGTTTTACCAGAATTTAATACGAGTCCCGCGTCATGTGACCACATACAGAGGTTAGTAAAGTCATGTTGTAATATTTTTTCGGCTTTTGTTATATCTTTATTGGCTATTACTAGGCAAGTATCGTCTGCATATTGATACACTGAACTATGTTTAATCACATTCCCCATGTCACTTACAAAGGCCAGATAGTGTAAAGGGCCAAGAACCGATCCCTGAGCGGTTCCCGTAGTTACAGGTATTTAATCACTGTAATCATTTTCAATTCTCACCCGGTATTTTCTATCTTTGAGGTAATTTTCACACCACCTGAGTAAAGGCCCGCGTATGCCTGTATTTTCCAGTTTTTGTATTAATATATCGTGTTTAAGAGTATCAAATGCTTTGCTGTAGTCAATAAATAAAAGAATTATGTGTTGTTTGTTGTCTAAATAAGTATTAATTTCATCGGTAAATTTTGATAACAAAGAAGTAGTTGAATTATTTTTTTGTAAGCCAAACTGAGTTCTGGACAGAACGTCATTCGATATATAATATTTATGTATCTGACTACGTATATATTTTCAACTATTTTATCTATAACAGGAAATATTGTAATTGGCCTATAATTGTCAAATCACAGTGCGACCCCTTTTTGTAGATGGGTCTTACTATTCCTACCTTTAGTTCTGAGGCATAAATACCAGAATGAACACTAGTATTAATCAACTTTGCAATTGCTGTTGTGATTTTTTCACATAAGGATTTTATGTCTATACAGCGAATCTGGTCTGCTCCAGCGGATTTGTTTGTGTTCAATTTCTGGATTATTTTATTTATGCTCTTGCCATCTGCTGCTTTAAACCGCATTGAACTATCTGAGGAAATATGTACTCTGCTTAATCTAAAAGGTTTTGTTTACAGTTGGGTAGTATTTTTTCAACATTTTTAGCAAAATCTTTATTAAAATTATTTGCTAATTGTTTAGCTGTTAATTTTTTGCCTTTAATATCGCCGCATCTAGTGATTTATTTAATCTGCCTGTGATGGAATTCAGAATATTCCATATCTTCCTTGGGTTATTTTTGTTATTATTTATTTCGTGATAATATTATTTGTTTCGAGATATTTCAATAAGTTTATGTGTTTTATTCCTAATTTTATTAAACTCTAGTCTTAATATTTTATCGGTTGTATCTTTTTTCCACTTGTTATACAGGTAGTCTCTTTTTTCGCAGTAAAATTTTATCTTATTATTTATCCATCTTTCCTTATTTCTTTTACTATTTATGCTATTCTTTGTAGTATATTTAGAATTATTATAACAATATTCAAAGCTATTTTGAATAAAGTTATATATCTCTATCGGACACTGCATATTATAAGTTTTATTCCACTAGACGTTTTCAAGAAGTGATATTCATTTTTTGTTATTAATTTGTGGCGCGTCGTTTCTCCACAAATTAATTGTTAAAGTTTTGACTCGGCCTGTACGCTGCTGCTGGTAGCCTCAGTCCCGGCACACGATAGTACGCACATGCGGTGATCTGCCAGTACTGTTCCAAGCGCAGCCGAGTAGATGACAGACGTGCACGATCTCACGAATATGTGGTCAATACAACTCCGAGTGATTTTTTCATTTCGAATCTATTCTTGTAAAATCAGAAATCGCTCTCGTCAGACCACACTCGGCCAAGCAGCTTATGTAGTAATCATGAATGTTATTTTTTAATTTCAGGTCAATATTTATGTCTCCGATTATGTACAAGTCAGAGTGTTTGATTAAATTGTGACATACCTAGTAGTACTTTAAGTTCATTAATAAAGAGATGCTTACTTTCATTAGGCGGTCGATATAACGCGCAAATGTGAGTCATAAAGTGGTGGCAAGATTGGATGTTTACAATTAATGATTCACAGTGGGTTAATTTTAAGTTACCTACTACTTCAAAACTGTGTCAATTTTTAATGTACATTATAGTACCACCACCACGTCGCTGCTCACGAAGCTTACTGCACATTTCGAGAATTGAGAAAGATTGCTACTTATTGAAATTCCTACTTCAGTTAGTATAATGACGTCTATAGCTATTGGTGATTGGTTTATTGTTTACAGTAATGCACTAAAGTTTTTGATAATAGATCTAATATTTATATGTACAATATTAAAAGGATTAGTATGTTTAGGTAGATAGGTACTAAATTCACATAAATTTGCCGAATCATAAATTTCAGTTACTTCCAAAGTAGTGCCTAGTGCGTAAAATTTCTACTACCGACTTACAATATACTCCACCGCGGTTTTGTCAATGTCACTTAGGTTTCGGATGACTACAGGCTTATCGTTATCAGTCTTACGAACTAAAATTCTACCGCCCTGGAACCATATATATTTATAAGTAACCTTAAGTTTTTGCTTAGCTTGCCATAGAAGGGTTTTATTTGCACTGGATAGGGCACGTCGTATCATTATCTTTGTTCTTGCTATAGCAAAATCTGGACAGGAAACGATGTCCTCTGCAAGTGTAGTTACATTTCGTGCTGCTTTTATCCACTATTCCACTTGTTCCTCCCGTTTCAAAGATACCTCCTTCCCATATTTCCCTTTTAATCTTTTAACTGTAGTTATTTCTTTTTTTTCCAATATTTAACTTCTTTGCTAGTGTATTTAGGATAATTTCCGTATTTTCGTCTTTTATTTCGGGTACTCCTGCGACTTCAAATGTATTATTAAGCTGTTTTTGCTCTAGGTTTCCAATGTTCCATAGCATCGATTTTCAGCTCTAGTTGTTTATTTTGGTTTGTTAAATATGTATTCTTGTTTTCCAGTTCTTTTATTTTTCCACTAATCGTCGCTAAAGTTTCCATTATTCCATCCATTTTTTGACAATAAGAGCTGAGCGCTTCATTTACTGAGCC